CTATTTATTATGTATTATTCTTTAACTTACTCTCCCTATGACGATGGCTATCAATTTATTGCACGAGCTCTAACGGCTTTAACGAATGTCTAATACGAAATATCATTGAATAATTGAAACTATTTGGTAAAAAGTTTGTGAATAAAAAATTTATCGAAATTTGCATAAAATTAAATCATGATTTGTCGTTCATTGGTTCATTTATATCCGTATGGAAACTTTCAATAATTTAACATCCTAATGTTATTGAAATCTTTTAAATTCATTATCTTGTCTTGGAATTAAAGTTTCTATCTTCCATTGCACTTAATGAAGCAAAAAATCGAAAAATTTTATTGCATAAGTGTATTAGCAAAATTTCTGAAGTTAGTCAATTTAAAGCCAAGTCATTAAATTATAAGATATAATTTTAAGGAAATAAGACAACAAAATTCTTGAGCAATGAAAAATTTTTCTGATAAAATTTTTAGTCAATAATTATTGAACAATATTAACATATTGTAGAAAATTATCGAAAAAATGATACCAAATCGTATTAATTAAAAAAAAAAAAAAAAAAAAAAAAAAAAAAAATGAAAAAAAAAAAGAAAAAAACCATATAAATATACAATATCTCCAAACTATGTTAATGGAAATATATTAACTATGTTAAAACGATCTGCCTCAACGATGTACTTTTATATCGCAATAAGTAATTGCATTATTTTTCTTGTTAAATAGTAAGCAATTGTTACACCCATTCCATGCTTCATAATTCTGTATCGAAGTTTGAAAAGCATCGTGACAAACTAAATACTAATAAAACTACAAGTTTCTATACTTAGTAAATATAATAATCTTCGATATGACATGAATTTTTAATTGGGAAGCATTATTAGTACTGGTAGCATCTATTTTCATAACGACATATATATATATATATATATATATATATATATATATATATATAAAAAGAAAGAAAGAAAAGAAAAGAAAGAAAGAAAGAAAGTTTTTTATCATCTCATAATTAACGAAGAGTTTGATATTTTTTGAAAATATTTTTTTGCAACGTTTCCTGAAGCACAAAATGACCTGACAAGCAAATAAAATGAACGATGCAAAGCCACTCGTTTTATAATTCTTGTACCTTCTGTATTAAACAAATCGATAAAGTAAATTAAAATGGAAAACCATTGATTACCTTTATTCTATAACTGTCAAAGTTGATCTATTAAACCACATATATTTAAACGTTTAAATGCTGCTTTTTTTTTTTTACTTTTTTTAATCATAAATTAAAAATTCTATAATTTATTGATTAAGTAGAATTTATGTGTTTGCGCATAAATATTGTACGCGAACGTATGTTTCGGATAATTTTCCATTAATTACTATATCACTCTTATTATCGTATGCACAACACGAACGAGGTAATGCTAGATTTCACAATTAATAATTACAAATAACAAAAACTCTATTATTTAATAATTCAGTGTATATGACTCTTTATATATTTAAATAAAGGATATTGATTAAAGTGCACTGAAAGTAGAAATTACTAATGTACCTACATTAAGTCTGTTATTTGCTTATTTAAATAATAAGAAGCATGGAGCTGTATAAGTAAATATAAGCAAACAGAGTGTATCGTTGATATTTGCTAATAAAACTTGCTAATTATAAGACTAATTACAACAACAAAAAAATTTAGCATATTAATAATACATTGGTAGTTTTAAAGTCCATTGGAATATATATATATATATATATATATATATATATATGTATTTATGGGATCTGGTACGAAAGCATCTTTAAGTGTACATTGTTACCGGTAATTAAAGCATAGATATATCGCACCAGCGATGAGATACTTTCATCTAAAATGCTTAAAATTTATAATCGGTAATTCTATATTTAGTTTACTATTGAGAAGATTAAGTCGGCCATTCTTTACTTGAAACACAATATTGCAAACCCATAACTCCCCCACCCACACCCCCGACCCCCGCCGAACTTCATCTTCCCTTAAATGAAATCAATTTGGTAGGGCGTTTGCTATAGAGCAGATGAAAGTCGAGAGAAAACTTATAGAATCGATTAGTGCCGCTATTATCTATAACAAATGGGCATACAAAATATTTAAGCGATTACTATTGTTTAATATAGTAAAAACTATATCCCTCTAAAAACTCCCATTTCGCGTCACAATTTCGCGTTTATTGTTGCTATGTAAGGGATTTTATTGAATATTATTAAATCATGGAAATGTTACTTTATTTTATCATTTTCGTCTTGCATAGGCTTTAAAATACTGCCGTGAGAAGTTTAAATTTTACTAAACGCCACTAAACCATAATAACTTAACCGCATTGCAATAAACCATATGAATGCAAGCTCTGATTGTTTTATTTTCAATTATTTCTGCTTGATTAAATGCTTTACCATGAAATAATATAAAAATACGAGAGATGGTGTTAATATACTTCAATATACACTTCCTGACAATATTTATATTAAAGAGGCAATTAATATTATATGTCTAAATAAAATCTATTTTTCTTTTATGTTTCAATCTTTCCATACATTATATTTTAAACTTGCGTTTTGTCACTATAATTTATGGGAGAAAAAAGAATTTCTAATTAATAATAATTAATTCTTATATAAATTAAATTAAAATATGCACGTAATTAATTTATCATACCCCATTAGAATATCCTCTGCAATTATATGGCAGTAAGTTTATATAAATATATATACATTCACGATATATATTAGTCTAAATTAAATCTCCGATTGTTTTTTTCTTCTTTTTTTTCTTCTTTTTTTTTTCTTTTTTTCTTTTCTTTTTTTTCTTTTTTTTTTTTCTTTTTTTTTTTTTCATGTTACCTTGTATGTGAAATTTATGCAATAATAAATTGTAATAAAGAAATTTTTAAGCACAAAAGTTAATTACAATAATTTTCATAATTTCTCTCATAATTTGTACAAAATATAGAATAAAAATTATTTTCAAAAATACAACCAACTACGAAACTTTTGAATATTAATTTCAATTAATTATTTTTTTAAACACTAGTTTATAAAATCCCATTTCTTAATACAATTAATTTTCTATATTAAACTTATTAACAAATATAATTATTAACCTATAGTTTTCTGCGATTAACGTATTTCAATGATTCTTTTCATTTCACCATAAATATACACGATAAATTTATTCCCTTTAAAAGTACAAATTATTCACAAGATACTCTTTGATTTTAATATATTTAAATATATTTAAATACAAGTTATAGCACAATTTTTTTCAACTTCTTATGAAATATTTTGAGAAAAGTTTTATCTATATTATTAGAGGTATTTTTCCTCTTATAATGAAACAATTCAATAATTAATAAAAAAAACTATTTAAAATACATTAGAATTTTTTAATCACTCAAATTATATTAATATTTTGGATAATATTAATTTTGCTTTAAAAATTTAAAAAAAAAAAAAAAAAAAAAAAAAAAAAAAAAAATAAATAAATAAAAGAAACAACATAATTATCATTCACGAAAATTATATAGAATATACATTTTCACAATATCTCGGATGTTTTTAATATGAAATTAGGCATTCATTTTTAAAAAAAAAAATTTGAAAAATTAATGAATTAACTCGTTTATTCATAAGTAAATTAAACATCTGATTAAATTGAACGTGAAAATTAAATTTTTTATTGAATATATATGTTCAGTCGGATAAATTTCACCTTACAGCAAACACTTGAAATTATGAAATTATGTATGTAAATGAAAGTAAAAAATTTAATAAATTTAGTAAAGAATTTACTTAATATTGAGAACTATTGGTATTAATGTTGATAATTATTGAGTTAATTATTAAAGCTTGTTAGAAATATAAAATGTTAAATATAATTTGTACAAAGTATAATTTTTAAGAAATTATGAACAAGTAAATAAAATTTGTGGTTGGATTAATGAAATTTGACTTTTAAAATTCTGAAATATTGGGACAAGCACAGATAAATAAAGCAAAAACAATGAAAACTTATTATGTCATTAAAAACCATCGTTGAATATAAGAGTAAAAGGGACAATTATATAAATTATACATTCTGTATCTTAATAAGTCATTCTTACATTCTCTCAATTCTTACAATTTCAATGTCAATAATTAAATTATTCGTTAAATATATAATATTGTTATTAATTTTAATGTTAATTCGAAAAATTGTTTTTCTTATTAATTTTGACATTAGAATGTCTTGGAAATAAAAAGGTATACTTACTTTTCTATGGATAATATATTTCAAAGAATCGTTTTATTACATTATTACTCGCTATAAAATTTATTCTCTTATATATATATATATATATATATTGTTCTATAATAGTCTAGAAAAAATACAAGTCAATCAATTATGATAATTAATGGAAATTCATTAGAAGCAAGAATAATACTCAAAGTAATTTATTAATTCCAGATTATGGGTTTATCTATGTATGATGATATCTTGAGTGCCTGAAATTAGTCTGAAAATTGTCCGTAAAGCAAATGGATCAGTGGAATATAGAGAGATATTTGAAGGATCTGCGAGGATATTAAGGAATGAAGCATATGTCGTAGTGAAATATAAAAACTCTGATAACTCTGTCGTGACTTTCTTGCCACGAATTTTCCCGTGTAATCATTCATCGATTCTTGATCCAACGAAGAAGATAAAGAAAAGTGTCGATCGGGCGCAAAAGTTCCGTGCTACTTGCTGCTTGCCTCCCCTTCCACCATCCCAGCGTCCGTCAATTAATATTTGGCCCAACTCTCGATAGCCAGGTTAAGGAAAATTGATGAAAATTGATGAAACGCTTTATGAAAGTGGAAGGTCCTAATGGCCGTTTCGCTCGACAATTCTACTCGGCCGCGCTTATCCCACTTAAGGGGAACACTTTCGGGGGGTCGGCTTAATCGGCGAATCGCTCAACGAAATTTCGCCACTAATGGTTACAGAGACCGTGGGCAAGGATGCCTGGCGTCGGGACGCTGCGACTCGCGCTCCTGGTCTGCCTCGCCGGGGCGGCTCTCGGGCTCAATGGCGAGCTCCTCGAGCAGGAGTGTCCGGTCGACTGCCACTGTCATTACTTCCGCATCAATTGGGTGACCGACTGTTCGGAGAGCAATCTCACGGCCATCCCCCACGAGGGCCTCAGCCACAACGTGTACGTGCTCGACGTCAACGGGAACAACGTGGAGCACGTCGCGCCCTTCCCGCGGGATATCAAACTGCGCCGTCTCCAGGTCGCCCATAACCGTCTCACCGACCTCGACTATGGATCCTTCGCCGGGCTGACTTACCTCCTCGACGCCGACTTTTCCTATAATGCCATTAGCAAGGTCGACCCGGAAGCTTTTAGGTAAGGCTTTCTCTTTTCACACCCAATAATCCCTCTAGTATCTATGAAGCATAATAATAATAATAACAATAACGCAGATGAACCTATTGCCAACCATTTGTAATTATAACTGTCATAAATCACTATTCCAGCATGCTTGCATTGATTAATTATTCTCTTATCATTCTGAATTGTGCATTAAACAAATATTTTTTTGCCAAAAAAAAAAAAAAAAAAAAAAAAAAAAAAATAAAGATGAAAAAAGCAGTACAATAAGAAGAGAAAAAAAAAGTTGCGAGAGCACTTTCCATGCTCGTTTATACATTTGCACGTAAATGTTGGTATTAAAAGACATTGTAGCCAATACCACTCAAATAAAATAAACAATTTGAATTAGACGTATTGGGGAGAGAGAAATAACTTTAAATGGATTCCAATTTTCAAACACCGCGTTTCTCGATTATTACAGGGACAGTCCGGGGTTAATTACCCTTGAGCTCCAGCACAATCCTCTGGAGGAGATCCATGATTATTTCCTCAACTGTCGGCCGCTGCTCTACCTCGATCTTAACACCTGTGGCATTCGTAATCTCAACCCCAAGTTTTTCCACAACACGACCAATCTCAACAAGCTCGACCTCTCGCACAATCCACTTGGCCGTATCGAGCCCGGACCCTTCGACCATCTCACCAACCTCGAGTATCTCAAGCTCTCCTCGTGCAATCTAACCCACGTATCGCCCGATGCTTTCGCCCACCTGGAGAACCTCCGTGAGCTAGAGATGGAGGACAACGACCTGAGCACGATGGACTGGACGAACGTCCTCGCGCCGCTCGTTCGACTCGAGCACCTCAATATACGGATGACGCGAATCACCAATTTGCCTGGCGATGCGTTCGCCAAAAATTTGTACTTGAGGCAGCTGGTGCTGGCCGATAACGAGCTCCAGCACCTCAATGTCGGCAACACCTTGGGCCACAATCTGCACAGCCTGCAATCCTTGGATCTCTCGAACTGCAATCTCCAGGACAGACTGTCCGAGCAGGCATTCAGGAACGCCAGTAAGCTGCGCGTACTGAATCTCAGCGGCAATCCCATGTTCGCTGCGGATCTCACCGCCGTTTTACGTCATCTGCCCAAGCTACACAAGCTCTCGCTAAGCAACTGCAGCTTGCGAAGGCTGCCGGAGGCCTTCGAGAATCTCGAACACCTCGAGGAACTCGACGTCTCTCACAATCCGCTCTCGGACGCCTTTGTGCGCCTGCTCAATCCCCTCAAATCTCTAGAGTACCTCGACATGTCTTACTGCAATCTCGGCTACGTTGGCAACAATACCTTTACCCTAATGACGTCATTGAAAAAGCTCATAATGTCCGGGAATACGTTGCATACCCTCGAGCAGGGGCTATTTACTAATCTGACGCGTTTGGAGAGTCTCGAGCTCAACGACTGCGGATTGAAAACCCCTATCGATCCCAAAGTATTCGGCGACCGCGTTTATACCAATATTATCGAGCTTAAGCTCAGCAAGAATCCGTTGACCGTGCCCGAGGATGGGCCACTTTTACCGAAACAGCTGTCGGGCCTGGAGATCCTCGACTTGAGCTACTGTGACATATCGCGGCTCAATGAGAATTTACTGTCGCGCACGAGAAATCTTACGCACTTGAATTTGTCGCACAACAGGATCGCCGGCACGGATAATCTCGCCTCGCTGAAGAAGCTTCGACTGTTGGAGCACTTGGACCTTAGCAGGAACAATCTCACGACCATTCATCCACGACTCTTTAAGGCCAATCCTCGTTTGATCACCGTCAACCTAATCGGCAATCCCTTCGTCTGCAACTGTTCTATCGTCGACATGTGGAACTGGGCCCTTCAGGTGAAGAATGACCTTGACGTTTTGGTGGGCAGCCAACCCTCGCAATTCAGTACTGGTGCCGTCAAGTTGCGCAAGATACTCTCCTGCTCCTACGATCTGGGAACCTATCGTCATATTTTAGAGCAGAGCCGCGTCGCAACTGCCGATCGTCGGCCACTCTTGCGTAAGGGCGACCTGACGCCCAATAGAACCTGGGCCAAATACATTCGGGAGTCACAATGCGACAGACACTCATGATATACGTCCGTTGAATTTCGAGACGAGGCGCGGACCGATCACCAGCACCATTGTTACAAGCTTAGACTTGAGTTCTGAATCGCACATTACCAAATACGTAAAAAAGAAGCAGAGCGCTTAATTATTTAACATATCGACATCCAAATGAAAAAAAAAGAAGAAAAAAAAAAAGAAAATAACAAAAAGAATGAAAAAGACACGATCTTCGAGTAGATTAATGTGACTTTAGCGAATTTCACAGTAAAGCTACATACCGTGTGGCAATCGAATTAATTATTCAATTTAATTTTTCAACCGACTATTCAATTCATATTACTTTAAATTATTTGTATTATTAAATTATATTGCTTATTTTTAATCTCGTATTAATAATAATTGTAGAAAAACTAGTGGCAAATCATTTTTGTAACACGTAGATGAGCCATCATATAATCGTTTTTCTTAATACACTTATCTTTTAGCGAACCAAATTTTTATTATTATTATTATATTTTTTATATATACATATGCGCGAGCGCGCGCGCGTGTAATTTTTTTTTTTTTTTTTTGCTGTAAAAGAGCAGATAAAACTTTGTTCATTCAAAGTCCTTTTAAATTAATCTATGTTGTGTCATTTATAATTATATTATTCCACGTAAAATGTTAAATATATGGCGGTTGCTTTAATTCAAACACATACGTGTGTGTGCGTGTGCGTGTGCGTGTGTTTGTAGCTATTATCCTAATATAAAGATTACTTAGTACAGAATTTAATGTGATTTTCGTAATTCACTTGTAATCTTACTCATATTTTACTCATTGGAGAAAATAGGAATAAAATAAAAAAACTAAATAAATAAATAAATTAGTAAGCTGCATGCTTCTGAAATCTTTACAACTCTGAACAATATTATTAAGCTATAATAATAGTCCGTTAAATTGTAACGTTTATCTATATGATAATAAATAATTTCGTTAATACAAATTGATTAATAATGTAAAGGAAGCAATAAAGAAACACAGCTACTATACTTATGAAACGAGCGAAATGTATTTAAGATCGATTGGTTTCCACGAGATAGATAGTTCCTTTCATTATTAAACAATGTATTTCATGAAATTATAGCTACTGTTCAGCATAC